GGTGTGGCCCTGGGAAATGTTTGATGATGGGAAGCAAGTTAAACACCTGGAAAAGAAAAAGGCTTTGCATAACTATGCTGCATCAACGGCAGGAGTCTCCAGTCCTGCACCTTCCGGCAGTTTTATGTTGCAACCTGTTCCTAAACACCTGCTTAGTTTCTAATAATCCTAAAGACCTTGATTAGTTTTTTTAAGTGAGGTTAAGAGGAGTTTGAGCTAAACTCTGCAAGTAGTTGGACCTCCAGAAGCAGGACTGGACATCCCTAGTCAAGTAGTTTCTATTGTCACCTACAGCTTTATTGGACCATCCATCACATATTCCTTGGTGGTTTTGACAAACAAATGCAAGAAGAGTTAAGAGAAGTTGAGGATTTGACATAGCATGAGTGACCTGTGGTAAAGTTTGCTAGAGTTTAACAATGCAATGCGTTGACAACCTATGGGAACGCACACAATGAAACAAGATCCATCTGGATAACGGAACATAGCAAAGCTAGGGACTTGTTCATACCTGTCCAACAAGGGATCCTGACTGAATGATATTCTCCTTCAAGATTTCCAGAAGGTATGCGAAGCGCTTGTTATCATAGTCGAAACGATCCCCAAACACAATGGAACAGATAATATTGGATATGGCATTCTGTATTGCATGTTGGGGGTCAAACGGCTCGCCTTCAAGAAAGAAAACCATGTGTTAGTCTCTGGCAAGCACCATTTTAATACTTTAAAGAGAATCTTGCCAAGTAAATTAATTAAAAAAACTATAACATCAAATCTGGTTTAATGACACTTGAAGCTAACCTAAATACTGAGGCTTGTGATTACCCCAGCAACAAGAACAAATAAATGTACTTAAAATGTTTTGTCCAATTATTACGTCCACATGCTTGCATGAAGTAGCATGTTTAAAGTTTGTTTCTAACTCTGACTCAACAGGACGAAGCGCCACATGATTGAGACTACAGCACCTCTGAACATGGAAAAAGTTCAAACAGAGGCTAAAATACTCAATAACCTTCCAATTTGAGCATTTCAGGAACCAGGTAACTGCTTTCATCTGTCACACGTTCCTCCACAGACTTCTTCCCCAGGCCAAAGTTCCTGAGCGTGTGCAGAGCAAACCGCCTCTGCTGCTTCCAGGAGTGGCCATATGTGGCCATTACGATACCTTAGAGAGAGAGAACAGACCTTCAGAGATGCTTGAAAACACACAGACAAGTTGAACAAAGAAAGACGATTAAACAACTTAGATTCACAGGTCTACCAGCCTAAAATCTTGACCAAGATGGTCTAAAAAGTTGACCTTGGCATCATTGGCTGGCAGAAGCCCACAGACAAGCAAATCACTTGAGGCCCAGATCCAGCTACAAAAATCCATGTAAGAAGCTGGTTTTAGCTTCATTTTCCAGCAAGGTCTCTATTATAACGCCATAGTACAAACTTTATAATGAAGAGCCCTTGGTTACGGCACCTATTGACAATATTTAAATTAATTCACTTTTTCAATTTAAATGTGCAGTATGTAATATTGACAGCTAGCAGTTGAAATGGACAATGCAGTCCAAATTCAAAATACTGTTTTTCCCACCCCCTCCTCCTAAGACTCAACGGTCATGCAGGTTGCCAGATTGAGGACAAGGAAGGCGACAAGCCTTATACTGCAAGTTGATTTATTCACGTTTTAATGTGCCTCTGGTCATAGAGCTTTTTAGGTGGATGCTGAGGGATTTTAGGTCGAGTAGAATCTGCGATCTCCGACCCAGTTTGTTTAATTTGCTGGCTTCCATATGCTATTTTTTTCTGCCAACTGGCAACCCGGGGTGTTGAAATACTATTGGGAAAATTGGCAATGGGCTTAATCACAGACCAAAACAAAACGACATGGAACACACATTTCAAAATAGAATAACTAGCTGTAGCATTTTTTGGAGAAACCTGTATGTGAATTTAGCATGTTTTCTTAATATCTACATATAACATTATGTTTATGTTTTAGTACAGTCAAAACAAATTACATACAGCACTTTTAAAATTTGTATGTTCAAGTATCCTACAACACCAACATTTTCAAATGCACTGTCAGTACAGTGTATTACTGACCATATCCTTCAGTGATCCAGATTAGCAGTGGAATAGGTGGCCTTCCTGAAAAAGATGAAGCATTTTGGACCAGGGCTTCCTTCATGACCTCGATTGTATTGAAGAATATTGCTGGCTTTCTCCCAAGATAGACAGTGGTCATCTCTCCATACTGAGATAACTGCTCAGAGAAGATTTCACAGCATTTAAATACAACTAAGGTGGCTTAGACACCTGTGAATGAAGTCAACATAGCACGTCCATTTTACAGAGTAAGATGAACATAAGACACCTTTCCACAAAAACAAAGCCCCTATACAACAAGTTCAAAGAAAGACTTACTGATCTTATGAACTCCATTGGGTTCTTTAAAAAATATGGTATGGTTCCCACAAAAGGCAGCGGTCTGGGACCAGGTGGAGTTTGAGTTCTGTAGGAATTAATCCTCAAGATTTCAAACAGAACTATAAAAATAAAACTCAGAGACAGAGCCATGCCTACAGAGGCCAGATCTAGTTTCATGAGAGTCGTCCACATGCTGATAGACACATTTCAAGACAAACACAAGAGCAGCTGATGACCGTGTGCTTTATGAAAACAGGGCAAAGGGGGAGGACACAGTGGGGGTGGGAGTTTGACGTGCCTGTTCATGTTTTTGTATAGTTATGCTATTTATTCCTGCTATGGTTCTAACCAATCAAGACAAAGAACAAAAAAAAAAAACATACTCCACTCACAACACTCATTTTCCTTTTATCAGGGTTCGTACACATTTTTACCAATAAATTTCCATGACTTTTCCATGACTTTTGAGACAATATTTTTGAGACCTAAATGTTCCATTATTTTACAATAAGAATAAAAACCTGTTCAAATTATCATAGCATATGTTAACTAAAATGAATGACTATTAATGTTACTCGTTTGCTTTCTTGTTTTAGTAATAAGTACAAGCTGCAACTGCGCCATACGTTACTCCACATTTCACATCACTGAATATTATCATTTATTTAACTGTGTGGCCAGGATGGCCATTTTGGTGTCATTTTGTGTGTATTTTTGCTGCTTAAATGCAACAAGCTGCGCTTTAGAGCCCTGCATTTCAGCCCGAGCCCAATGGCCCCAACTTATTTATGGCTTCGGGACAATTTTCATGTCATAGCTCAGACACGGGCCAGGCATCAGGCTTGATTCCTCCTTATTTTTATATTTTAGATATCCATCAATTATCATGGTGATGACAAAGATTTGCTGCGCTTGTGGAAACAACACGAGACCGTGCTACCGCGACTGTCAAGAGTGGCTCGGACGGTGTTTACCCAACAAACACAGAACGTTGCCTCCACGTAGCCAACCTTTTAGCAACGTTGTAACAACATGGCTAAAAGGTTGTTGGTTCTACGTTGTGTCGTTGAGGTGGTTACTGCGTTGTCACAATGTTGCCATTCAATCACGGTTCAGGGCCATTGTTGAAGGTTGTGCTTACTGTCTAGACCAGTGTTTCTCAACCAGGGGTCCGTGGACCCCTAGTGGTCCTTGACATAAGGCCAGGGGGTCCGTATAAAGTATGAATTTTTGTATAAATTTTGTATATTTTTACATGACATGTCCCCATGAAAGAAAATTCCAAAATAGCTAATGATATGGCCAAATACTGGACAAGTCAGCTAACTTGAATTATTCTCGACTGCATTTGGTCCTCACAAAGACACAAATGATACGAGTAAATTTTGTTCTGGGGGTCTCCCCTCTTTGAGGATGGTTCTGAATTGGACTGGGGTGCGGTACGCCAAATGGTTGAGATTCACTGGTCTAGACATCCACTGGATGACATGTACTCGTCACTGTTCCGAAGCGCATTTTAAATTTTAACAGACCGTTGGGCCGTTATTCTTCTTCAAGCCAGGATATGTGAGTATTGCTTATGATTTCTCTTTTAGATAAATATGTAAATATCCAAACAAAACCTACAATTTTCGTGTCCAATGTGAGATTTATTTGTTCTGTTAATAAACTGAATGGACAGAATAGCTGATAATTCCCATACCGAGTGTTAGTTTGCGATCGGGTTTGGTGTAGGCTACTGCTAACTATATTTCTTTCAGTATTCAGATATAGTTACTGATATTTAGGAAAAAGTGTTAAACATATTCTGCTCATGTAAATGTGTAAAGTGTTTTAACATTACGCCAAAAGTTATAAGCCATAATGAAGCTATGAAAAGTGATTTGACATTTCAGCACAACAGACAGCGACTGCGCGTACTTGCAAGTTAATGTTCAATCTAGACGACAAATAATATCTATGGTTAGCCATTGGCCAATAAATTGTCAAATTTAACTCGCCAGTGTTTTTGTTAAACCGAAATTCAGGACCTGATTAAACACAATTCTATTATACAGAGTTCTGTGAAATAGATTTCAATGACTTTTTCAAAACTTTCTGGGGTTATTTATTTTTCCAAAACTTTTCCAGGCCTGGAAATTGGGGTTTTAAAATTCCATGACTTTTCCAGGTTTTTCATGACTGTACGAATCCTGTTTTATAAACACACTAGCATGAGTAAATGGACCTAAGCAAAGTCCACTCACTGCAAAGAGGAATAAACATGCTGCAGAAGACAAGTTGTGCAAGTTTAATAAATAACTGACAAGTTCAAAGCTCTCTACTACCATGTTCATTGTTGACACTAAATCTCAGCACAGCCAATGGATATTCTACACCCTAATCTTGTCTTTATTAATGAAACTATGCAAGAGGTCTGGAAAGGGATGTAAAAGTGACATGTAAAAGGCATTGAAAATGCTTTTAGCTCAGATTGTTGCAGTCATGCGATACCTGACATTTTAAAACAATAAAAAAATATATAAAAAGGCATTTAAAAAGATATATAAAAGGCAACACATAAGCATGTTGGGTTTGCGTTTTCTTTATTTTTTTTGGTCTTTTCTTTATTTTTTTGTCTGTTTTCTTGGTTTGCTATAGGGAAGTTTTTGGCACTACATAATTGTCTTAGTGGGTTATGTTTGATTTTACTATCTAAAGCCTTTGTCCTTATGCAAGCAAAATATGAATACAGCTAATAAAAATAAAGTAAATACATTTTAAATCCTTATTTTACACATAAAATAAAAACACTTTTTTTGTACCCCTCCAAAAATAGGGGCATTAAAATATTTGTCATTTTGTATCACAAATCAATGTGATGATACACACAGAAATAAAAGGAAAATAAAACATAAAAACTGTACAAAAATGATAAAATTCATTTTAAAAAGTTTCCAAATGATGCAAAGTTAGTCTCTTTTTTCTATAAGGACCTTGGGCATTGGTTTACAAAGTGTCTTTCTTCATTTCTTCTGTTGAATGTAGTTGAGATGGCCGTGTCGGCCGTGTTGAATCAGCGGGTAATGTTGATTTGCCACCACAGAACCTGCAAGAGAGGCAAAAAAAGGCTGTTGTGAGTGGAAATGTTTCCTGATTTATCAGTGTGCATATTTGTGGCCTGTAAAAACCATAGAGAGGAATATTTAGAGTGATAATGTCTATGGAAAACATGTTGCATGCATCAAATAGTTATTTTAATAGTTCAAATAATTTAGCATTCTGACATTAAGAAAATTAAGCATGGATTCCCCTAAAAAAATAAATAAAATAACACGTTGGTTTGCTTTTTTTGCTTTGTTTTCTTGATTTTTTTTGTGCTCTTTTTTTTTGGTCTGATATCTTGGTTTGCTGTAGGAAATGTTTTTGACACCACATAACTGACTTGCTGGTTTTGATGTTGCCATTTTGAAAAAAAAAATTAATAAAAATAAATAAAATAAGGCTTCATTTTACTTTTTGGGGGGTATTTGGGTATTCATTTTTAGGTATGATTTTCCTATCTAAAGCCTTTCTCCTTAAGAAAGCAAAATAGCATGAATGAATAAATACATACATAGGGCTGCCCCCTATAGTCAACTAATCGTTAGCAAAAAAAATTGCAGGAAAAAAAAAAGGCAAAGTCACGCAGTCTGTGATGGACAGATCGTTAATGGCTGGTCTATGTGGTAATACAGTAGGCCTACATCGGGCAGGACATCCAAACGCTCACCTATCATTCATCGACCTCATATATGGCTTATCATCTGAAATATGTAAGTATTAGCAACTTTACATGGCCGCTCAATCTAATGTTAACCAAGAGAGATGTGCGCTATTCAGTGTCTGTGTGGAGTGGAGCTGAACAGCAGCGTGCGCTCACTGCAGGACAGATGGAGGTGCCGGTGCGCTCACTTGCTCTTAAAATACTGGTCATTGTTGTTCATACAGATAAGAGTAATACATCTTTCAAATCTGTAAAGATTCTGTTTATTTGTGAGCACTCACAATAAAAACAAATTGCGCTTTTGTGAAATAATGAATGCAAACAGGATGCGCTTTCTGCCGTCTCGGTCTCTGTGAACTTGAGCGCGAAACACCATGTATATCTTTACCTTATGGACATGAAAAATATATCTAAAGAGAGTGAAACGTCTGCTTTCAAATGAACCAATTCAAATGGAAAACAAATATTCTCAGATGATGTAATCCGTATGAAACATGCATACAGGCGCAGCAGTACTGCGGAGATGACGAGTCAGTGTCGTCGACTTCATCTCTTAAACCGAAAACAAAGAAAGCAATAGTTTATAAAATTATTAAAATTTTAATGCAGTCTTCTTACTGTTTTTCACTGACACATTCATAACCATTACTTCTGCCGGGGCACTGTGGCAAGCTTTATGTGTGCGCTTGAGCGCATATTAGGCTACGTAGGCAAGACTCATAATGATGATTTAAATGGTTTATTAATAAACTTGTGATTAGTCGACTAATGCTAAAAATTAACGACTACTAGTCGACCAGAAAAATCCTTAGTGAAGGACAGCCATATAAATACATAAAATTAAATAAATGACATCATGTTGGTTTTACTTTTTTTTTTTTGTCTTTTCTTGATTTTTACTGCTATAGGAAATGTTTTTGCCACTACATAATTGACTTATTGGGTTTGAACTGACTTGCCATTGTCCTTAAAGTAAAAATAGCAAAAAGATCAAATAAATACAATAAACTGAAATAAAATAAAAACTTATTTTATTGTTGAGATTAAATGAAAATTCCATTGTTAATTTCCACTTCAAACACATATATAAATTCACAAGATTTGAATGTTTTAGTGTCAACATGTAAGAGAGCAAAGCAGCACTGGTACCTTGTGAGATGAAGGGTTTGTTGGGCTGCTGCAGGTAGCAGCGTGCGCTCACTGCAGGACAGATGGAGGTGCCGGTGCGCTCACTTGCTCTTAAAATACTGGTCATTGTTGTTCATACAGATAAGAGTAATACATCTTTCAAATCTGTAAAGATTCTGTTTATTTGTGAGCACTCACAATAAAAACAAATTGCGCTTTTGTGAAATAATGAATGCAAACAGGATGCGCTTTCTGCCGTCTCGGTCTCTGTGAACTTGAGCGCGAAACACCATGTATATCTTTACCTTATGGACATGAAAAATATATCTAAAGAGAGTGAAACGTCTGCTTTCAAATGAACCAATTCAAATGGAAAACAAATATTCTCAGATGATGTAATCCGTATGAAACATGCATACAGGCGCAGCAGTACTGCGGAGATGACGAGTCAGTGTCGTCGACTTCATCTCTTAAACCGAAAACAAAGAAAGCAATAGTTTATAAAATTATTAAAATTTTAATGCAGTCTTCTTACTGTTTTTCACTGACACATTCATAACCATTACTTCTGCCGGGGCACTGTGGCAAGCTTTATGTGTGCGCTTGAGCGCATATTAGGCTACGTAGGCAAGACTCATAATGATGATTTAAATGGTTTATTAATAAACTTGTGATTAGTCGACTAATGCTAAAAATTAACGACTACTAGTCGACCAGAAAAATCCTTAGTGAAGGACAGCCATATAAATACATAAAATTAAATAAATGACATCATGTTGGTTTTACTTTTTTTTTTTTGTCTTTTCTTGATTTTTACTGCTATAGGAAATGTTTTTGCCACTACATAATTGACTTATTGGGTTTGAACTGACTTGCCATTGTCCTTAAAGTAAAAATAGCAAAAAGATCAAATAAATACAATAAACTGAAATAAAATAAAAACTTATTTTATTGTTGAGATTAAATGAAAATTCCATTGTTAATTTCCACTTCAAACACATATATAAATTCACAAGATTTGAATGTTTTAGTGTCAACATGTAAGAGAGCAAAGCAGCACTGGTACCTTGTGAGATGAAGGGTTTGTTGGGCTGCTGCAGGTAGGGTGGCAGACGATAGGGCATGAAGGATGGAGACAGCGAATACGGAGCAGCACTGCTGTGATCCCAGGACCGAGAGCCCTGACTCACACCGCCAAACTGAGATGGGAAATTAGGATCTAGAGAGATATAGAGAGAGAACAGTGAACACACAGATCTGAACTAACAGACAGCAAAATAACAAACACAATTTTCAAACTGTCACACAACCATTATGAAACCACAAGCTTTCAGGTCAAATTAAATAAATGACATCATGTTGGTTTTACTTTTTTTTTTTTGTCTTTTCTTGATTTTTACTGCTATAGGAAATGTTTTTGCCACTACATAATTGACTTATTGGGTTTGAACTGACTTGCCATTGTCCTTAAAGTAAAAATAGCAAAAAGATCAAATAAATACAATAAACTGAAATAAAATAAAAACTTATTTTATTGTTGAGATTAAATGAAAATTCCATTGTTAATTTCCACTTCAAACACATATATAAATTCACAAGATTTGAATGTTTTAGTGTCAACATGTAAGAGAGCAAAGCAGCACTGGTACCTTGTGAGATGAAGGGTTTGTTGGGCTGCTGCAGGTAGGGTGGCAGACGATAGGGCATGAAGGATGGAGACAGCGAATACGGAGCAGCACTGCTGTGATCCCAGGACCGAGAGCCCTGACTCACACCGCCAAACTGAGATGGGAAATTAGGATCTAGAGAGATATAGAGAGAGAACAGTGAACACACAGATCTGAACTAACAAGACAGCAAAATAACAAACACAATTTTCAAACTGTCACACAACCATTATGAAACTACAAGCTTTCAGGTCATTAGGGCTGTCAATTTTCTTTTTTCAAAATTTCGAATATTCGTCGAATTCGAATTTTAGCTGTGCGTAATGCAGCCTTATCAGTGGCACACAAGATGTGATGACGACGTAGGTGTCATTGTATTCTAATGCTTTTTTAGCCTATCCAGTTGAACCCACTGGATGCGGCGTGCTGCTACGTTGTTCATTTTAAAATATTACGGAAAAAGAGAACATCAATGCAGACATTATGTTGTTTACGTCAAAACTGAAACTAAGCCATTCACACAGAACACATATTTATCGCATTTTCTAGATTTCTCTTGTGTCTCGCACAAGAGAGCCGCATGTTTAGAAAGTATGCAAAATTAATGTAAGTTCAACTTTTAAAAAACATGTCTCAAGACTTTATGGCAGTTTTTCCCCATCCCACAGCATCTCATGTTTTTAAATGAAAAAAAAGTACTCTTTGTGTTTGATTTTCGGCCCTTTGTATTAAACTATACATACATAAATGATGCTGTTTTGTTTCTAATTGTTTAAGCAACTTAATTATATATGGTTTATAAACATTTATGTAATCATTATGCACATTTCCCCCCAAAGATAGTAGTGTTATTTTATTGGTTTGAAGAAACGTGCAATAGTCATATTTTGCTCAATGTGCCCTCTTGTGGCCTCAGGAGAGAAATGAAATAAAAACTGAAATTATGCCTTTCAAAATTCGCATATAATTCAAATATTGATCAATTTTAAGCACAAAATTCGAATTTAGTTTTTCAGCCATTTTGACAGCCCTACAGGTCACCTTCCTTATTTAAAGGGGTCCTATTATGCTTTTTCACTTTTTTAATTTTAGTCAGTGTGTAGTGTGTATGTTTGGGCATAAAAAAGGTCTAGAAAGTTACAAATCTCAAAGTCCACTCCAAAGGGAGATATTTCGTTTTTTAAAAATCCCTTTTCAAGAACTACAACGAACGGCTCCTTTGGACTACAGCGTTGGTTTTCCGGGCTTTGTGACATCACAAAGCGGCTCATTAGAATATCATAAAAAATAATTCCCACCTACAGAATTTGGAATGGTTGGGGTGTGTGGAGGGGCGAGGTTGTGGTTAGAACGCTTGGTTGAGTGAGTGCATCAGACGAGACGACGAAGAAGAAGTGTTGCTGCAGAGTTAGTGCATCAGAGAAAACCAAGAAGAGCTGCTGTGCTGTAGCGTAAAATTTTCAGCATGTCTAGAACAATTCTTACAAGTATAACACGACGTAGCTGGGCGCTGCGGACAGATGCCGAATGGTGCTGCAGGTGTGCCTACACTCATAGAAAAGAATGTATTAGAATTTTAAAGACGTGGCGCAATGCGCCGCTGCACTTCTCGTCGGCGCGCGACCGCCTGAAACGCTGTTTTTTTCACCTCTATGCCCAAACGTCTTTGTTTGGGCTTCCGAAAGCGGATGATGTCAGGAAACAGTGGTTGCAATTTATTTTTTAACTCTGTTCCTGAGCATTATAACCCCAATTTGCTATTGTGTGCTGCGCATTTTACTGAGGACAGCTTCCACATCACGAGTGAGTAAAGTGCCTGCCGGATTCGCCAAAAAGCTTTTGTTGAATGACGGACCAAGGGGGCGTGGCAATAATGAAACACCGTCTAAGCTGTTCGCCAATCACAACGCACTGGGATAGCTAACCAATCACAACACGTTTTGTTTTTTGGAAGGCGGACCTTCATCAAAGCCGGAACTAATCGAGTCGTTCGTGCCAGGCTGGGGAGAAAGTTATTTTAATAATGTAAATTATGTGAAAAATAATGCGTATTCAAGCATGAGAGCATGTTCTAGTACACCCCCAAAACAAAATAAAGACTTTGTAAAAGAGCATAATAGGACCCCTTTAAACTAGTTTCAAAAACCAAGGTTTTTATTAGACTGTGATTTCAAAGGGTTATAGGTGAAACAGCTCTAATCAAGGGCAAGCCTAGTCTAGTAAAACCAGTTCCCAGTGTTTAGTCTAACAGCTGTGGAGTCACCCGGTGAACCCAAAACACCTGTGACACTTACCTGAGCTCTCAAACAGACACTGACTTCATTAATCTCTGAACACAACCATATATTTAGCAGCAAATAATGTTGAGCTGGATCTTATTCATCAGGATTTGATTGGATAGAAATACTTAAGGCTACTTCACTACTGGTTAATATATTTTCCATACCCAAATAGCCTTGGTTACATGAGCGCCAACATTTTTTTCTAATTAAATTTATTTATTTGACATTTTGGCATTTGCCCCCAATAGCTCAAACTAATTAGTAATAACCAAACAGTATTTTTCTTAATGCAAAATCTAATTTGATATTAGAAAAGCAAAATGTAAAAAAGGGTCCTGAAACTTACAAATTTACTAATTATTACAAGTCACCAAAAAATACAAAATTTTCTTTGGCATTACAGTAACAGTTGCAATTTCATTTATTTATTGCATTTTCTTAATGCAAAATACAACTTCTTGTTTGCTGTCCTTTTGATTTTGAGGATAAAATATTAAAATATTATCCTGACTAAATGTTTTTTTAAAGAATAATTTGTTCTGACTGTGCAAAATAAAAGACATTTGCTAATATTATCAGTTTTAATTTGTCGGTTTCCGAAAGCGGATGATGTCAGGAAACAGTGGTTGCAATTTATTTTTTAACTCTGTTCCTGAGCATTATAACCCCAATTTGCTATTGTGTGCTGCGCATTTTACTGAGGACAGCTTCCACATCACGAGTGAGTAAAGTGCCTGCCGGATTCGCCAAAAAGCTTTTGTTGAATGACGGACCAAGGGGGCGTGGCAATAATGAAACACCGTCTAAGCTGTTCGCCAATCACAACGCACTGGGATAGCTAACCAATCACAACACGTTTTGTTTTTTGGAAGGCGGACCTTCATCAAAGCCGGAACTAATCGAGTCGTTCGTGCCAGGCTGGGGAGAAAGTTATTTTAATAATGTAAATTATGTGAAAAATAATGCGTATTCAAGCATGAGAGCATGTTCTAGTACACCCCCAAAACAAAATAAAGACTTTGTAAAAGAGCATAATAGGACCCCTTTAAACTAGTTTCAAAAACCAAGGTTTTTATTAGACTGTGATTTCAAAGGGTTATAGGTGAAACAGCTCTAATCAAGGGCAAGCCTAGTCTAGTAAAACCAGTTCCCAGTGTTTAGTCTAACAGCTGTGGAGTCACCCGGTGAACCCAAAACACCTGTGACACTTACCTGAGCTCTCAAACAGACACTGCACTGACTTCATTCATCTCTGAACACAACCATATATTTAGCAGCAAATAATGTTGAGCTGGATCTTATTCATCAGGATTTGATTGGATAGAAATACTTAAGGCTACTTCACTACTGGTTAATATATTTTCCATACCCAAATAGCCTTGGTTACATGAGCGCCAACATTTTTTTCTAATAAAATTTATTTATTTGACATTTTGGCATTTGCCCCCAATAGCTCAAATTAATTAGTAATAACCAAACAGTATTTTTCTTAATGCAAAATCTAATTTGATATTAGAAAAGCAAAATGTAAAAAAGGGTCCTGAAACTTACAAATTTACTAATTATTACAAGTTACCAAAAAATACAAAATTTTCTTTGGCATTACAGTAACAGTTGCAATTTCATTTATTTATTGCATTTTATTAATGCAAAATACAACTTCTTGTTTGCTGTCCTTTTGATTTTGAGGATAAAATATTAAAATATTATCCTGACTAAATGTTTTTTTAAAGACTAATTTGTTCTGACTGTGCAAAATAAAAGACATTTGCTAATATTATCAGTTTTAATTTGTCGGTTATGTTCATTTATTAAAACGTAATTACTAAAATAACTAGATTACTTATTCATTTTTTAATAATTATATTTAATAATAATAATAATAAATTTTTCCATAACAGCATTAAAAAACAGACAATTTTATAACGTGGCATTTACATTTACATTTTTTTTTTTTTTACTGTGACGGCTTAGCAACATGTTAATGTCAAAATGAATTGAAATCAAAGTGCTATTTGCATAAAGCCTAGATCTCTATAAGGAAAATCTGCTTAGAAAGCATTTCACTAGGCTTTGAAACCGAGCGACAGACACACTAACCAGTGAGTGTGAGTACCACGTGTGTGTGTACCTGTCTTGTTTATGGTGCCGTTCCCCACCAGTGACCCCGGATTGAGATGGTGATTGTGCCAGGGGTGCCCCCTTTCTCTGGCGGGGCCGCCGCCCACTCCACCAGCCGCCCGTCCCGTCGACGGCTGAGCGAAGATGATGCTGGGGTCGTTCAGGTTCATTGGGGCGGGGCTCACCGCTGGCCCGCCTCTGCCGCCCCGGACGGCGAACTTCAGGCCCGGAGAGGACGGGTGGCTGGAGGCGGTGGAGACCCCGGAGCCCTGGATGAGAGGGCCGTGGATGGGCCAGGAGGCCGAGGTGAGGGGCGGCTGCTGGGGGTGGGCAGGCAGGAGGCCCAGCGCCGAGAGCCCGGTGTGATACTGGCCCGGGTGGGAGTGGGGAAAGCTGAAGATGGGGAGCTGGACCTGTGGAACCTGCGGCTGCGGTTGGGGCGGTTGGGAGGGTTTGGAGGTAGAGGATGCAGAGGAAGGCTTGCTGTTCTGCGGAGAGACGGATGCCTGGCTGTAGGGAGACGGCTGAGGGGAGTACGGAGGAGTCTGACGCGTATCAGACTGAAAGGAAACACAGAAAAAGCGTCAGTTCATCTAAAAACCATAATGAAAATATGAAAATGTATGTTCTGTTGCTGGGTGAATGATTTTTTGGCAAACAAAAAATTAAGCATAACCTTGAATATCACAATTTTAATGCCAATACCATGCCAACATCTGTAAATATCAGCGTATATACATCATTTTATATATATAATTCTATATACTCAGTAAATACATAATTCTATATGTATATAGTTTCAATTTTTCTTAGACTAATTTGTGAAAATTAATTACTAATTATACTTTGTTAAATATAAATTCTAAAAAAATTACAAACAGAAATATAATTCATATATACAACACATCTAATTGCTAAATAATTTTTTTGTGTGAAAAAGGTTAATTAAAAAACATGTATTATTTTTTATTATAAATATTAATATAATTATAAATATTATTTATGATTAATAAATTAATATAAAATAATATTTACTTTATTATACACACTATATAATTTCTAAATATTATAAATACATACTAACAGTCATCATTTGTATATTTACTGAAAAGTAAACTAAAATAATTAGATAATTATTAATATAATTACAAAATAAATAATGCAACAAATCTAAATACATATATAAATTAAATAAAAAAAATGTTGTTTGTTGAAAATTGTTGAAGATTAATTTTAACTAGAAATAAATAATACATAGATCAAATATACATTTTTCAAAATTAAACCATATTTTCAGAATCAGAATCAGAATCAAAAAGAGCTTTATTGCCAAGTGTGTTCACACACACACACACAAGGACTTTGTCTTGGTGTTAGGAGCTTCCGGTACAGAAAATAC